ACTGTAAATCCATAAATCCAAGTAAAAATATGGTGGAATGAGGTTTAGCTCAAAACAATAACAATTTCGATGTGAAGATTGTTACACTCTAATGGTGGAAATTGAGATTTTGTGAGGGTTTTTAGGAGAGGATAAAGATGAATGTGAAAATGTTATAGAAAATTCAGAGAGAATGTGAGAGAATTGAGAGTGAAGGATATGGAGATTGAGAATTGTTCAAGTGATTTTCTTATATAGAGTTTTGCTTCGGAGTTGCTAGGTTCGGAGTGAGTTTTGGATGTAGCCTTGGAACTAGTCTTGGAGTTAGTTAGCCTCAACTCACTGAGTTGGAGGTTAACTCAATTAGTTAGGTAGTTGACTCGGTAACCATCCCAATGTAAACTTGAATCTAAGGGCTCACATGCTTGAGAATGAAGTAACATGATGGTCTTAATCTCAATTGATGCATTTGAGCAAACACCTTGAAGTGTCTTGAAAGGTCTTGACGTGTCTAGAGATGTCTAGAATGTTCCACATAATGCTAGAACAATGTAGACCCCAAAATGGTAGAGTGAAAATGTTGTCACAAAAAATGTAGCAAAAACTGCATTTTTACACAGTTTAACTGGTTACCCTAAAGTGGTAATCGATTACCACAGGAAAAATTTGCATATTTTGCTTGAAAAATGGTGTTGTGACCACGATTTCGACTTTCAACCTTTTGCTTTGATGAATATGCATAGAAACCTTCATGTTGTGCTTGTTTTGGTGATGTGATATTTTTGAGAGGATATGATTAATCAGACTTAGAAAACCTGAATATTCCTACAACAAAAATCACAGAGAAAAAGTGTGAATGCGTATGCCAATGATGCGAATGCACATGCTTATGCAAAAGGCAGAAGATGAGGTCAAATTTTGGGTTACAACAACACCTTCAAAAATTCAAATTTTGGTGCCATAAAGAGGGAAACATGGAGAGTTGCCTGTTGTCGTCTGTTCTGAGCATAATTTGACATCTGAAACTTGTCTTGTTCTGAGCATAATTTTGGTGCCTATATAACGCCTGAAATAAACTGTGAACTGTCTCCTGCGCTCAAAATAACATGTTGAAAAATATAATATGGTGCCCGATTTTTGAGAAAAATAAATGTTGAAGCCTCTAATGCTTGCTGCTTAAAAACTTGCAATAAAAGAAAGTCTTGAGCCACTGCAATATCTTTATCCCACATCTCAAGAGCTAATGTCATGATAATGCAAATGAGCGAAACATAAGCCAATTACAGTTAAACGAAAGATAAATTTTGGGGTGTTGCACACTCTTAACAGAAAAAATCAAATACAGATGAAACACATTCAAAATCAAGTCAAAAAATATAAACATGCAAAATACAGTATTACACACACACACACACACACATACACACGCACACACACACACACACACACACACACACACACACACACACTAATGTTCTTATTTTTCAATACATGTATAGAAAATCAAATGTGAATTTTTTTTGGATTAAATAACTTATAAAATGTGTAGTTGATGTTGAACACTTCGATTAATTGGATGTTGAACACTTCGATTGATTGAATGTTAAAAGTAAAAGTTGACAAACCACTTCGATTGAATGAAGTTGAAATGATACTTGGAAGTGACTTTATTCTGAGCAAAACTTAGATAATGTTATGCAAAGAGTTTGTGTTTTTTTTTCTGGAAATGATACTTAGAAGTGCATTTCCGAATTCCAATGACATTTTTGGTTTTTCATATGGGTGTGTGACAAACCCTTAAGGTAGGAAAAGTAATTCCTTTTTATTTTGTGTGTAATTCTATTTTGGCTTAGTTATAATGTGAAATTGAAATGTATATTCTTACTAAGTTATTTTTGGAAGCTAATAATAATATTAATTTTATTGATAATAAAGATAAGTGGGACAATGAACCATAACAATTAAAGTAAATGACGTTAAGCAACTAACCCAACATGTCAATAGTATAATAAAATTTACTAAAAGCAAAAGAAAGATAAAAGTTGAGAACACACACTAGTTGGTTATCGGGTTCAATCAAACCAATCAACTGTGAAAAAATAGAGTTTCTGGTTAACTATACATTCGAGAATTGTTACAAAATATTACAAAAGAATTACAAAAAAAATAGTTAACCAAGTTTTAAAGAACAAATATGTTTTATGTCTAGTGATTCTTAATCTCTCAAACTCCCTTTACATCTGAATTACACAAACCAAGTTATTTAGAAGTGTTTTTAATTTCCTTAGATACCTCAAAAATATTTCTCAAATCTCAAGAACTCAGAGAATTTATATATTTACATCTCTAAATTTCCCTACTATGATTGCTTATCTTTTATATGTCTTTCACACTATATTTTAAAGGTTGTTCTCACAAGAATGACATAATTATGTATTTATAAGGGAACTTTTTAATGCACCCTATATATTACTTAGGCATCACATGAAAATACTAAAATGACCCCAGATTTCAGAGACGCATCTCCGAACGCACCCTGGTACATAAAATTCTTACTTAATGTTAAAATACTCCGGAGATGCATCTTCAAACTTATTTCACAAATGCATCTCCAGACGGTATTAGAGCTTAAATCACACAAGAACCCTTCTCCTTCCTCTTTTCTAAAAACACTTAAAACTTTCTCAAACACTCTCAAAAAAATTTTCAACCAAGTTCAAAATCAAACAACCAAGCTAAAAGGATCTTCATTCAACATCAAGTACATCATGCTAGAACAAGCTTTTTTATTGATATTTTCTCTTCTTGTTTTGATGATAACAAATTCTAGATAACCCTGGACAGCAGACTGCGGGGGTCGTCTTTGTCGCTTCTGATGGGTGATTGTGAGTGGGAAGAGTCGTACTGAGGGCTCCAATCGCGGCGTGTAGGGCTCCTCAAATGACTTTTCAGTTTCCCAGTCTGCCTGTCAGCTCTGCTTCTCTTGGGAGCCGAGAAGCATCGATGTTTTCGAGAAGGAGAGCAGTCACGCTTCTAGGTGGCCGTGGGCTAGGCCTTTCCAGTCGCGGATGACACCCAGGTTGTCGCGGATAGGGACTCTGTGACTCATCATGTTGCACCCTCCGCGGGGGAGGGGAATGGCGGGTTTCTCGTAGTCGCGGGAACGAGCTGCGAGAAATCGGGCGATGATGTCTCTGCGGGGGAGAGCGTGGTTGTCGCTCCTTTTCCAGCATTATGATCTGCCTGTTCTATTGGAAGATCATCAAGTTTGTCTAATTGATTGTCGCAAACAGAATCACCATGGTCGGGTCGGCGTTAGGTGACATAGGGATTGGTTGGAAGACAACCGGGTTGTCGAAGCGTCGGGCGGCGTTGAAGGCCGCATCGTCGAGAGAGGGAGAGACGGTGCGTCTGTCCATGGCGTCGCCTTCATCGACATGAATGGTCAAGTTGGGGTCGTGGTCGTTGCCGTTGGTGAAAGTGGTGAAGGCGATTTCATGGACGTTGTCGTCAGTGCGTGGGTTGACCATGATCAATAGAGGTTAAAGTATGCTTTAGTTCTTGAATTTCTACGGAAGAAAGAACGGGGAAGCAAGTTTCCCACAGATGGCGCCACTGATCTTACCGGACCAGAAAAAAATCAGCAGCCAGCAACACATCGTGAACTCCTAATTCACCGGTGGTAGAGAAGAGGAAAGGGGTGTACATGTAAGGCACTCCGATGCTAAAGTCAGTTTCAACAAGAGAGAGAAGGAAAATACTGGAAAAAAAAGGTGAGAATAGAAAACCTGACCTTCTAGTAAAAGAGGGTATTTATAATGTGCCCTCAGCGCTGGCCCAACATTTACTTTGCATTGGGTTGAATCTCTAGGCCCAATACGAGTAACTGTAAGGGTCTACGTGGCGTAGGGAAGATCAACACGTGGTCTTCGTCATGAGTCAACTGCCCTGTGATCTTCGGGAGGTGGGTGACCTGTTCTTTCAGATGTGGGTAGTTGCCTGATGACGTGTCCCTGCGTGGGGGACACGTGGAGTCCGTGGAGGAGACGCGTAAGTGCTCCCTGTGTGATGTGATGAATTGGGGGCTCGTTGAACCCTCCTCGACAGAGAGATGGATTGGGCTGTGCCCGATAGGGGACAACCTCTGATCCAATCCAGAACAATATTCATATCATTTAAAATACGTCAACTGTTAAAAACAATTACTTATCACCACTTTCTTTTATCCAAAATAAAAAAGAAGGATCAAAACCGAATTAATAGTAAAATAGAGAGATTAATTCGTAATTTAATTTAAATAGGAGGATTAGAACTGTAATTGAGCTTAGAAATTTAGAATATATATTTAATTTTATTAAATTAAAAAAATTTTAGAAGATATTTTTAAAATTAGAAAATATATGTTAATTTTTAAATTATTTTAAAAAATATTTTGCTCATTTAAATATATAAATTATCAATTAAAAAAATAAAATATAATACTAAGATTTAAACTTATTTTTAAAACTAATATAATCAAGTTGACTTATTAATCTAACGATTTAAAACTAATATAATTGAGTTGACTTATTAATCTAACGAATCTAATGCGTTCAAATTTAACAAATTTAATTAATAAATTTAATTTTTTTTTCTCATATTTAACTCATTTAATTCACTAAACTAATTCAAAAATTTAATTTTTCAAATCAAATTTAAAATTACATTGCGGTCTTACTCATGTTTTAAAAATATTTAAAAATTCTTGGAGAATAAATGAATTAAAAAAAAAAAAATTGTACTATCATAAACTACAAGTCCCATACTCCATCCATTGTGTATAAACCATGCTTGCTTATTTGCACTTTTGGCGGAAGACTAGTACTATCTCTTTTCCCTCCAAACAATGCATTAAATCTAAATAAATAAAATAAATATTTAAATATGAAGAAAGCAAAAAGTAATGAAAAAGAGCGTTACAAATTCCAAAAACCCAATGCATGCATCATAGAAATACTCCATCCTCTGGACTTCAAATTTCCATGGCGGAAGAAGTGAGCGACTCAGTCACGTATACAGTAAAAGTAACCGTCAAAGTCACTGTCACTGACGAAGAAACAGCCATACGCGATGACGTCGCACCAGGACTCTCTTCTTCTTCCGTTCAACTTGCTTCGTGTGAAAGCAATAGGAACAAACTTAGTAGGAAAAGAAAGGTCTTATGCGATTCTGAAAAAACCGAAGCTGATGGCTTAGAAGCAGTAGCAGAATCTATGAAAGGTGGCGCTGAAACGGTGTTGTTGACGGACAGTGAAAGTTCGGTTGACGGTTATGATATGGCAGCCAGTGCTTCATCTTCTGTTAAAATTGCCTGGAGGAAAATGAAGGTCTGCCGGAGAAAGAACAATGCAGAAATTGTGAATATTTCTAGTTCTGAAGAAGATTATGAAGCTGCACTTGATGGAGAAATTCAAATCCAAGAGAATGCTGTGTTGAAGGACAATAATCAGGACTATCCTGAAATTGAAACTGAAACGCCTTTGTCTCATGATAATAACAAGTATCCTTTACGAAGGACTATAAACAAGAAACATACATTTGTTGAACGCGTGGTGCCAAAAAAATCCATAATGAGAAATATTCAGGTGCCATCACATGATTTCTTTACTCATTTATATTTCAATTTGTAGATATATGAACATATGTTTGAGTTCGGCGGTGTATAACATTGTGGTTCTATTACTGTTTCTCAATTAACAGTGGGTTGAAGAGGAGTCCTCAATGTGCCATCAATGCCAGAGAAATGATAAGGGCAGGGTTGTCAGATGCACTAAATGCAAACGGAAAAGATTTTGCATTCTCTGTATAACTAATTGGTACAACTTTATTTACTTCTGTTTTACCTTTAACTTATTCCTTGCGAGTTGGTTATCTTGTTATTGAATATGATTTGTTCTTATCTTGTTATTCGTTTGGATTGTGGATGATGAATTTCTCACAAGTATATGTTTTTTTTGCTGTCTCTTGCTAAGGTATCCTAACCGGAAAGAGGATGAAATTGCTAAGGCATGTCCGGTGTGCTGTGGTAATTGCAATTGCAGAGCATGCTTGCGATCACGTGTACTTCTCAATGTAGGTTTCCCACCTACATTAACTATTCCAGTGATTTTTCTGTATTCCACATTTGAAATGTGATCATGTGTTTCACTACAGGAAATAAAAGAGAAGAAGACAGAAACCAACAAAGATCATGAGGTTGGGCCCTCCAAGTATATGCTGAAAGAACTTCTTCCGCATTTAAGACGATTGGATGAGGAACAAATGGCCGAGAAGGGGATAGAAGCGAAAAGACAAGGTATTTCCTCCTCCAAGAATATCACATCTTGCAATCCATTTCTTCATGCTTTTTTTTTTGTCTATCCTCTTATTAAACTGAATTGTTTTGCCTATATTTCATGATTTTGACTCTTTATTTTAGAAATAATTTTATATTCCTTTTTTCTTCTTTCTTCTGGATTACTTGCATAATTGCTATCCTGTTTTGCACTATTTTTAATGTATGTGCATTTTTGATTTTGTGTTAAGTTTGTTATCTTAGTTTCATATATTTTCCATTTTTTTAATTTGCTTTTGGGATGAACATTACAGGGCTCCCACTTTCTGAGCTAAAAATAGAAGTAGCAGATTACTCTAAAGATGAGAGTGTGTACTGGTATTGTGTTATTTGCTATGTTTTTGTTTTTTGGTTACTCTATCTCTATAAAGTTGTTAATTTAACACTTCTTGTAGTGATAACTGCAAAACGTCAATATTTGACTACCACAGAAGCTGCACAATATGCTCTTTTGTCCTTTGTCTCCTCTGTTGTTGTGAGCTTCGCAGCGGGCAGCTTCTAGCCGGTGCAGATACTATTGAGTCCGAGCTTATCTTCCGGGGACGTGATTATTTGCATGGTGGAGATGAAGAGAGTACAGTCAGAAATATTGACTCTCATGTTGCTGCCCAGCCTGAGGTTCGTGAATGGTCAAGATCTCGGTGGCATGCAGATAGTGACGGTAGCATTCCATGTCCAAAAGCCGATAATGAATGTGATCATGGTTTCCTTGAAATGAGAAGGATACTTCCTCCAAATTGTATCTCCGAGTTAGTATGTAAAGCAGAAGAACTTGCAGAAAAAATTGAGCTTCACGATGCAGAGGAGACTTTTGATAATAGGTGTTCGTGTTGGAAGTCTGTTAGGAGTGCCGACGGTATATACAGTAACCTAAGGAAAGCAGCTTTTCGTGCAGATTCTAGTGACAACTTTTTATACTCTCCTAAGGCTGTAGATCTACATCATAAAGATTTAGGACATTTTCAGTGGCATTGGAGCAAAGGGGAGCCTGTAATTATCAGCAGTGTACTTGAAAGCTCGTCTGGTTTAAGTTGGGAACCACTTGTCATGTGGCGTGCATTCCGTCAGATATGCAATGCCAAGCACAAAACTATTTTGGATGTGAAGGCAATTGATTGCTTAAATTGGTGCGAGGTTTGTTTGATATCTCAATCTTTAACATGAAGGGATTCTTGCTGGAATTCATGTTTATTATCATTTTCATGGAACTTATTTCTAATTTATTTAAGATCAATATTTTTTTAGTTGATCTACTATGCTTGAAAGTGACATATAGAGAAAAATACTGGTGCAATTCTGTACTGTTGAATTTCACATATGTTTTTTGAATTTGGTAGCTCCATCTTTTTGGGATTGAAAGAAAATTCGGTGCATTTAATATTTTAAGCTACTCAACTTAGAGTATACTCTATTTTGGTGGATGGCTCTACTTCTTCTATAAGAAAAAATTTCTAGATGTTCCGCCAATTTGGTTTATGAAGAGATGTTAAAAGAAATGCCACAATAGGATTGTGAGCTGCAATTCGTTTTCATGAGTGTAATAGGGATGTGTAAGTCACGTCTTAGTCCTTGGTGCTTGTCAAATGCTGTTTCTTCCAACATTTTCAACAAATGCTACCTCTCACTTAATACTTTGTATCTTATCTTTAAAATTTATCTCAATTTCTTGGTGTCTTGTGTACCTTTTTTTTTTTTGCTTGCTTCACATTCCAAATTATTCGTTGTTGCACTTGCATCCTCTTTATGCTGTTTTCCTATTTGTATTTTTGCCTGTTATTTTGCATACTAATTGCATGTTGGTGATGTTGCTGCTGATAATTTCTGCATTTTTATTTGAGGTTGTTGATTAACTGCAGCAAGATATTAATATCCACCAATTCTTTACTGGTTACACAAAGGGTCGGTCGGATTGGCTTAATTGGCCTCAGATTTTGAAATTGAAAGATTGGCCTCCTTCTAATTTATTTGAGGAAATTTTGCCTCGTCATTGTGCCGAGTTCATATCTTTTCTGCCGTATAAAGATTATACAGATCCTGTCAAGGGCGCTCTTAACCTTGTTGTGAAGTTGCCTGAAGATGTTCTAAAGCCAGACATGGGCCCAAAAACATATATTGCCTATGGATTTGCTCAAGAGCTTGGACGTGGTGATTCTGTGACTAAGCTCCATTGTGACATGTCTGATACAGTATGCTTCAATTTTGTCTTTCCTGGCTCTTCATTTTTAGAATTTATTTTATATAATTTGAAACTTTTGCTTTTAAGTTTTAATTGAATATCATATTGAAAGGTGCAGATTTTGTTTGGCGTATAAAATTTTGTCTTTGTAAACCATTACATTTATCTGTTTGTTAACGTATGAGCTGGTTCTAGAGTAGTTTCAAGTCCATGTCATGATTTTCTGTTCATAGCATTATCTTTAAAAACCTCATTTGATTCTACATTTGATTTTGTTTTCCCCGGGAACTTTGGTAATTGATGATTTGAAAAAGTAATCTTTTTGTGAAAAGTGGCATCATCAGGAAAGTATTTTTTAAAATTGAAAAATCAATTGTGCTTTTGGGTTTGAATATTTTCATCCTTTATACTTCTTTCAGATGCATTTCTTTTCATAATTTGTTATTGGTTATTTCTTTGTATTTATTGTTGTGTATGAGTGCATATTTTTCATTAAGAAAATAATCTTGTTTAATTTTCTGGCTTTTAAGGTAAACGTGTTGACTCATATCGCTGAAGTAGAATTGGCTCCTTGGCGCATTCCTGCCATTGAGAAATTGAGACAAAAGCACCTTAAGCAAGATAAGAGAGAGCTTCATCGTAATTATTTGGACAGAGACGATGGCCAGTCTTGCGAGTCAGAACTCAAAGTGGATTCTTTAGATGGTGCTGTTTGGGATATTTTTCGGAGAGAGGATGTACCTAAATTGCAGGAATATCTTAAGAAGCATTTCAGAGAGTTTAGGCATGTCCATTGCAGTCCTTTAAAGCAGGTACAATTTTGTCGAGATGATTTTCTTTTATCTATATATCTTGAAGAAATGAATAGTCTCCCTCCCTCCAATAACACACACAAACTGAAAATTCAGCAAAACCCACGCCTGAGAAAACACTAATAACACATGCTAATATCATTTAAGACCTGCCAAAATGAAACAACAGACTACATTCCTTCGACATTGAGTTTGTAAGAGAAAATATATACCATCACGAATAAGGAATTATATTGATATTGTTTGAAAATATTGATCACCAACTTTACATATCACGATCACCACGAATTACACATGAACTACCGATCATGTACCACATACCCGGTCAGGAGCAAATATAATCAAGAACTATGAATCTAGAGCACAAACCACAAACAGAAAAGAGTTGTGAAGATAGATATTGAGATCCATGTTATTCCATTCCAACTCCATTATCCATGCTTCAGATGTCTAGCCTTAGAGATATGACTTGTGTAATGCTTATAAGGTAAGACAAATTTTAAGATGGTATTAGAGCCCATCCAAGCTCTCATTGGACTAAGTTCTCTGTTATTCCAACTGCATTTGTGCATACTCTAGATGTTCATTCTTGTGCGTGAGGGAATGTGTAGAGATCCATGTTATTCCATTTGTATTATCCACGCTTTAGATTTCTTGTCCTAAGTGTGAGGGAGTGTGGTGAGTGTCCTGCGTGGACTAAAGATTTGGGAATTTAACCTATGTAGTGCTTATAAAACTTAGGCAATCATTACCTTACAAACCGGTTTTGTAAAGTTGAATTAAGCCTAAACCAAAATTTATTGTCCTCAAGGATTTATTTGCCTAAAACAAAAAGCTTCAGGATTCAATGGCACCTTATAGGAAAATCTCGAGCAACAGATCTACAAGAAAACTCTCATTGTTAAACTCATTAACCGTTGTGGGACTTGGTCTTCAAAATTTTCATACAAAGCGAAATATCCAACCGATATGAACATCGGAATTGATGCATATCATATATAGTATGACTGTACTGGTTTATTGATTTATGGACCTTACATTATGAGAAGTGATAACACTAGAGGCTTCAGTTCAATGGCTAGAAAGAAGGGAAATGCATTATTAATGTACTTACCAGTACTAATGGTCATTGGTTAATTAAATATATTTCATATCTTCCTGAGAATTTGGAAGTGTATTTGACATTCAATGGCTGCTGTATGTAGAGGACTGGTTAGTCAGATGGTAGCTCACTCATTATGCATGTGTATCTTGATCGACATATTATTTGTTAATTAATGTAGGTTATTCACCCTATCCATGATCAGACCTTTTATCTGACTCTGGAGCACAAGAGGAAACTTAAAGAGGAGTATGGTTAGTGGTTTTATAAATTTTATTATGCTTTTGAGAAGTGGGCTGGTTTGATCAATTAAATTGTACCATTTTGTTGACAGTGTGTCATTGACTTGTAGGAATTGAGCCTTGGACTTTTACTCAGAAGTTAGGAGATGCTGTTCTCGTTCCTGCCGGCTGTCCTCACCAAGTCAGGAATCTCAAGGTAAAATTTACATACATACATGTTACAAATTTCTTTTTTGGATATAATGTCCTGATTGATTTTCTTTTGAGTCTTGTTTGAAATGTTTGTGTTAACGTTTCAATACATGCGTCGCCTGTTTGTAGTCATGCATCAAGGTAGGACTTGATTTTGTCTCGCCTGAAAATGTTGGCGAATGCTTTCGTTTGACAGAGGAATTTCGTAAGCTTCCGATAAACCACAGGTCTGCCGAGGACAAGTTGGAGGTCAGCTATACTACTAATCTTGATTCTATCATGCTGTTTATATGCTCACCAATGTTGATATAATGCATTTCCTATTTTGTCTGGATACTTTCAAATGGATTTAGTGATTGCCACTTAATATCAAAATGCCCTGATTGTTGCTTTTTCTTCGGTAGCAGGTGAAGAAAATGACTGTATATGCTATGCTTGATGTGGTTCAAGTATTGTTGGAAAGGTTCAGGCATCTTTGGTTATAGGAAAGGTTCCATATTGTTTTTTTGGTCGTTTGAAACATTATTTTTTGTAATATTGTACATTTAAGCTTCACTAATTTATAGCTAGGTGCTAATTTATGCCCACATCAAATTCTTAAAATTTACCTGGAAAATACAATGGAGAACATTGTGAATGCATGATAATGAGATTCTATGTTTTGCAAAATGTGAGTTATCGATTTGATGTCATGTTCTGTGATTGTTTTTGCCACCAACACATTGCTTGCATAAAGAGGATGATATTTCAATTTACAAATAAAGTATAGTTAGTTTTTAGTGAGGATTTTAGAAGAAAAATAGTCCCTCTATTTTAAAAGTCAGTTTTTTGAGCTTTGAATTTTGCATCACTTCAGATTTACATGTCCGGTTCATTTTTTATTGTTGGTGGTGTCATTAATGACGTGGCAAAGACATTGTTGGCGCCAGGTTAGATTTTTTCAAATTTTTTAATTAAAATGGCTGATTAAATAATTGAAAAAACAAATTGTAATAATTTTAAATAAAATGAAATTTATAGTTAAGTCTTTAAAATTAAAGATTGGGAAACATATTATTGTTCTACTCATCATCTTCTTCCCCTTTCTAACATGCAAATCCTAGGTCACAAATCCAAAATCCAATTCTTGGATTCCAATTGCGTGTCACTCATCTCCTTCTTCCTCCAACATCCAACATTCGTAAGCAACAACGGATTTTGTTCTGTGAGTAATGAATGTAAATGCGGTCTTAATTTCTATTGATGACAATATGGACGGATGTGCAGGTCGTCGCTTTTATAGTTGTGGTAATTTTGATGTTGTTTTAAGAATGTCACCTTGATGTATCTTCATGTTTCTCCATTTTTGTCTCCAACCACATGGTTACAAGAAGAGGAGTCACTTTATTTAGTTGGACGAAGAAATCAATTCTAGAGCAAAGGAGGTTATCTCTACATTAATGTATAGTTTAAATGATGAGAAGCAAAAGATTAAAGATGTCAATACCAAAGACGAAGAAATGAAGATGGTGATTTTTTTGAAAAAACAGTTGAAGTTCAACTGGATGATGACTGATCAGTGCATTTTGATGCACGTTCTTCCATGTTTGTACTCAAGCATTTCTTTGATTTTATTTATTTATTTTTATGTTTTAACGTGTTTTTATATTTTATTTTATTTTTGCATTTAATTGTTTTTCGTATTTATTTTTCAGCTTTAGCAGCTTTTGCGAGAAAAATCATAACTGGAGTTTCGGGAGTCCGTTTGAGGCATTCTAAAAATCGTCGGAAAGCTAAGAGAGAGAGCTACGACTTTCGTGTTAGAGTCGAAGTCAGATTCGGAGCCCAAAATTCCAGAATTTCGTTTGAAGTTACAACATTAGGAATTTGTTTTAGTTTTGGGTCATGTTTTGGGTCTGTGTTATATTTTCAACCCAGTTGGGTTATGACCCGAATTCTGGTTTTTATCCTCTTTAGTCTAGGTCTGGCCGGACAGCAAAAAAAAGAAATCCTATGCACTATTCACGAAAAAATAAAAAAAAAAACCTTTGAGAAGAACTCATGGAGAACTAATACCTCCGGGCAAATCCTGCTGTGTATGGTTTCAACACTTTGAGGTTATTATAATATCAATTTAAATCTGATTCCTTTCAATCCTTTTCTATGAAGTCATTTGCTTAATTTGATTGCAATTGTTTGCTTAATTCAATTGTTGTTCATAGGATAGAATTGATTAAATTCGATTGTATGCATGTTCCTAAATTTAATTGCGTGTTATCGTTTGCTTAATTCGTTAATTCGTTATATTCTTAACCGTTTGCTTAATTCGGTAAACAGGAACATAATTCATTTGATGTTAGTAAGCGCTTGTCTGATTAATATCATAATCGAATAGGATTGGAGCCGTTTAGGGATTGATGTTATAATAACCAATGATAAGTCGGAACCCGAATCAGTAGGATTAGCCGTTTTAGTTTATCTGATAATCACTTTTTTTAATCACTTTTTTTCTCTTATTTTATAAATCAAAACTTAAAACCCCCATAAACATTTTCTTTAGTTGGTTGAAATAATACAAGAGTCCTTGTGAGAACGATATTTCGAGTCATTTGTCGCTATACTGCATTTTTCTAAAATTACTCGTTTTTGATCCGCGAGCGACCGCGGATCAAATTGACGCCGTTGCCGGGGATTCTTGTCGTTATTAATCAATTTTAGAGTCATAGTGTTAGTTAGTATCCTCGAGTCTAGACCTTAGTTTCCTCGTGGTTTCGTCCAATTCGCGTTTTACAGTCCAAATCGTAAAAAAATCTGTTTTTGGAAAAATTGTGTCCGATCGTAAAACTGTTTTGCTTACGAGAAGCAGAAAAATCGTCCGGTAATACCTGGAATCCACCCTCAGAATCGCCAAAAAATCCTTTTTTCTATTTTTAATGAATTTTTTACTGTTTTCATAGAGTCGAAAAAAATCGAAGAAATTCTCATAATTGTTATTTTTCTTAATTAGTTTAATTCTGGTATTATTTTATTTTTTTGAAATTTAATTAATTGTTTTCCATCATTGTGTTTGAGTCTGAGTCTGAGTCTGACTATCTGCATAACTTGTTTGCTTTGGATACTGAACTTGATTTTGAAATGGCTGATAATAGAACCTTAAGACAATTAGTTGCCCCTGATGTAAATTATAATAGCTTGTGTATTGAATATGATGATGTTGTTGTTCCTTTCGAATCGGAATCTGGTTTAATACACTTGTTGTCAAGGTTTAATGGACTTGCAGGTGAGGATCCGAATAAGCATATGAATGAATTCCAAATTGTGTGCTCTACACCTTCTGAACCTTCATTAGAGGACCTTGTCAAGCAAATGGCTATAAATGATCTTCAGTTTCAGCAACAAACAGATTCAAGTCTTCAGGCTTTGCAGACACAGATTGAACAGCTTACCACAATAGTGAATGCCATGCAACAAGCTCAAGAATCAAACCAACTACCAGCCCAAACAGTAGTAAATCCAAAAGAGTTATTGTCTGGTTTAGTTGATGATATTTATCCTGAGTTGTCATCTGATTTTCCATCTTTATTAGATTATGATGATACTTACTCTTGTGATTCATGTACCGACACTAACATTTGCTCTGTTTGTGCTGAGATTAATGCTGCTGTGCAGGGTGATATTTTTTATGCAGATGAAGTTGTTTATGCAGCTGAAGCTCTTGACATCACGGCTGCCCCAACCTCACCATCCATTGAACAACCTCTCCCCTTAGAGCTTAAACCGCTTTATAAGAATTCGAATTATGCTTATTTAGATATGAATAAAAAGCTTTTGGTCATAATTTATTCTAACCTTGGTTTTTATAAAGAAAATAAGCTTTTTCAGATTTTGAAGAAACATAAGAAGAGAATTGGATGGACCTTGATTGAAGATGAAAGGAAATTAGTAAGATTCTTATTTGATCCTGGAATAAAAGGCGAAGGAACTAATACAAATTTTAAGGGAGATGGATGCTATCCAAAGTTACTCCCCACTTTGGAAGAGGAGACTGCAGGAAATCTCTCTTTGGGAAAGGATGCATATGTGATCACTTATCCACCTTGACTCGTCGGGTGTGTTCTTTCCTTTCCTTCACTCTTATTGTATATTTATGTCCTTTCATTGAGGACAATGCTTGTTTTAAGTCTGGGGGAGGGAAACATTTGCTTTATATTTTGTTTTGTTTTGTTTTCAGTTATAATAATAAAAATTAAAAAAAATGCATCTTTTTGAAAGTTCTAGGCTAAAGACTAATTTGAGATTAGTTTGCGGAGACTTGAAAAAAATTCACAAGATCGGTATCGTCTTAACACCGTAAGTCTCCTGCATATGGAAATTGATTTGAATTCTTATTATGGTTTAGCCTTGAATTTTCATTCTCTGACAGCTCTTGAGTAGTTTATTTCAGCAGTCAGCACCATCTCATACACATTCTACGCAGGGAAGCCGATGAATATAAGTGAGTGATCAAATTGAAAAGAAAAAAAAATAAAAAGAAGAAAAAAATAAAAAGAAAAGAAAAGAAAAAGTTGAAATTTTTTTATTACTCGTTAGTTGGTTCAGCGGTTTCTGGTGCTGAACTTGGTAGGGTGGATTACGGTCCGATCCCCCGCAACTACAATTGAGTCGACAAAGGGTTATGCCACGTAAGTACCAGAACCCCAAATAAAAAAGATCAGAGTCACTAACCGGTCGCCTTACTATGAGTGTATGGAGATAACGAGCTTAATGTGATTGCGCCTGAATGAAAAAGAGCAAAAAGGAGGAAGAGTAAGTTAGGCTTCAATATAATAACATGATTTGAGTTGATTTCTGTATCCAGGAGGCTTATGTCTGCAAAATTGTGGATTAGTGTTCCTACGATATCCTTAGTGTGTAAGATTAGTACCTATCGATGCAAACTTAACCGAAGAAGACTTACAGCCTGGAATGAGTATCTGTTGATGTGTTTGTGCTTTCTTTGTTTTGTTTTATTTTCATTTTGCTCGGAGAGCAAAAGTTCAAGTGTGGGGGAATTTGATCAGTGCATTTTGATGCACGTTCTTCCATGTTTGTACTCAAGCATTTCTTTGATTTTATTTATTTATTTTTATGTTTTAAAGTGTTTTTATATTTTATTTTATTTTTGCATTTAATTGTTTTTCGTATTTATTTTTCAGCTTTAGCAGCTTTCGCGAGAAAAATCATAACTGGAGTTCCGGGAGTCCGTTTGAGGCATTCTAAAAATCGCCGGAAAGATAAGAGAGAGAGCTACGACTTTCGTGTTGGAGTCGAAGTCAGATTCGGAGCCCAAAATTCCAGAATTTTGTTTGAAGTTACAGCATTAGGAATTTGTTTTAGTTTTGGGTCATGTTTTGGGTCTGGGTTATATTTTCGACCCAGTTGGGTTATGACCCGAATTCTGGTTTTTATCCTCTTTAGTCTAGGTCTGGCCGGACAGCAAAAAAAAGAAATCCTATGCACTATTCAC